TCCTTCCCTCATTTGCAAGCTGACACCACCCCCTGCAGCAGCTCCACGCCTCCATCTCCTTGGCCGCTTCAGGCGCGCACGCACGCCGGTCTATAGCAAGCCACCAACACTACACAACAATGCACATACTCCCTCCGTAAACTAATATAAAAGCGTTTAGATCATTATTTTAGTTATCTAAACGCTTTTATATTAGTTTACAAAGTAAATACATGTTACCGTTGATCGATCGATAATAAGAAAAGAAGGTCCGGTGTAGTAGTATTTATTTACTAGTAGTAGTATTTAGCTGGGGCCGGACATGCACTCGGCCGGGCCAAGGAGGTCAGCTCCAGCTCGCTCGCTCGCACGCACGCGGACGTGGGTGGGTGCCGCGTCGCCGGCGTGCGGGGGCCCCACCTGCCCTGCCCTGCCTCCGGAGTCCGGCCCGTAGGTTGCACGGTCGCTGTCCGATCACGTCGCCGCGCCGACGTGGGCGCATGGCGCGCCGCCGCGTGGCCGCGCTGTCGGTGCGGGCCTCTCGGCTTCGCTGGCAGTGACGGGCGGCTGTGCTGGTCTCGCTTGGCCGGCTTCGGCTTCGCGTGTGGTGACCGATGGATGACACACCGGGCCAGCCTCCCTTCTCCCACCGGCTTCTTCTTTTTCGTGCGCGTGGGCAAACCTGGGAATAGTTTGTGATCCAGATTAAATCCAGCCCAATCCATACAAGTATAAGCCCAACAATCAGACCAGACCAGACCAAACTGCAAATACTATAATCCAAACCAATCCAAACTGTACGTATTTTCCATTCCCCACATACAGTTTCAATCTGAAGTTTCAAACCAAGGGCGTGTCCAATTACTATGGGAAGAGAGGCGTTGGAAGGGTGATTAGCTGCTGCTGCATGTTACTCACCACCACAACGTACGTACATAGAACAAGCTATAATGCTAGATACTATATATATATATGTGACTAGCTGCACCCGTCCATCACGGTATAAACTAGCTCGGCCACCGCGTGCGCCACACATAGCCTGCAGTCCGCCACCGCCACCGAGCTGCGCCATGTCCATCGCCAGCCCCTTGTTCGCACCGTCGCCGGAGTCGACGGACATGAGCTTCATTGCACTTGGTTGAACGCGGCCAGATACATCAGTCCATGCCGGTGGCGTTCTGGGTGTTGAGAAGGTTGAGCATGTAGCCCGTGTCCGCACCGCCACGGCCAACCAGAGCATGCAGTCCTACCGCGGGACGTCGCCGCAGCACTGCGCAAGGCTCCATGTCGCCAAGGAGGAGCGGCCGGCGGTGGCCGTGGCGTAGCAGGCAGAGGCGTGCGGGACGAGGCCGCGAGAACCTGGTCGATGTTGGTATGTATCTCTACTGGAGCATGGATGTGCCATGGCGAGCAGGAGCATCATCATTGGCACCAGTAGTGGAGACGACAAGGAAGACGTTGCCAATGGGAGATTGCTTTTCCCGGCAAAAAAAAGGGTGATTGCTTTGATCGGGACCCTAACCTGGTCCTTGATTTAGTTTTCGGTCCATGGGTTAGAATGGTTTGAGACTGTTTGGTCTGTGACCAGACCGAACCAGACCAAACCGATAATAGGAAAAGCCCAAACCAAACCAGCTTGCATTAGGAGCTCAGCCCATTTAATCCAAACTGTTAGACTATGTATAGTTTCTGTACCTATGTACGTATTGTAACAGAACCATTATATATAATGAGATAAGCCACCCTAGAGGGTGGTGCTGGTTCCCAAAACTTATTGTCCGGCGGCGTGGAGAAGACGGAGCCGATGCTCCTTGTCCCGCTCGATGCCGTCTCCGTTCCCGCTCCGATCGGGACAAGGAGCATCGGCTCCGTCTTCTCCACGCCGCCGGCGCCCTCGCTCGGGCGTGATCTCGTGGTCCACATCGCGGCGCCGCCGTCCGCTGCGGACTCCGCAGGCGTCGTCCCGCCGCTCCTGCCGCAAGCGGATCACACCGCCCCGCTGGCGGGGTTGGCGGCGTCCGCACCGGCCGTGAGCTTTGCGGCGCCCGCCCTGGCTGCGGTCCCGCCTCCTCCCGCCTCGGCTTCGGTGCCTCCGGCTGCCTCCATGGTGTTTGCACCCCAGGCAGCCTCCTCGATGGGATCGTCTTCGCCGCCGCCGTTTCAATTCGGTCATCTCATCACCATCAAGCTCTCCGCCGACAACTACATCTTCTGGCGTGCGCAGGTTCTCCCGCTCTTGGGGAGTCACTACCTGCTAGGCTACGTCGACGGATCGCTTCCCTGCCCACCCGCGCTGGTAGACAGCGTGCACGGTCCGGTCTACAATCCGGCCCATCGCGTCTGGACGGGGCAGGACCAGGCGAACCTCTCCTCCATCCAGGGGTCGCTCTCGCCGGCAGTTACCGGCCTTGTTGTCTTCGCGAAGACGTCTCATGAGGCCTGGACCATCCTTGAGCGCACCTTTGCAGCGCAGTCCCAGGCTCGTGTCTCTGCACTCCGTCGTCAGCTTGGAGAGTGTCAGAAGCTTGACTCCACTGCCACTGAGTTCTACAACAAGGTCAAGGGCCTCGCCGACACATTGGCCTCCATTGGACAGCCCCTAACCGACTCCGAGTTCAACTCGTTTATTGTCAATGGTCTTGATGAGGAGTATGATGCCTTAGTCGAGATCATCAACGAGCGGGGCAACTCGACACCCATGCTGGCACACGAGGTTTTCTCTCGGCTCCTTCTCACTGAGCAACGGGTCGAGACTCGCCGCACTAGGGGCACCGGCTCCCTCTCGGCCAACGCCGCCACCAAGGGTGGCCGCTCTTCTTCATCACCCCGGTCTCCCTTGGGGCTGCCACCGTCGCCCGCCTCGGCCCCCCCACCTACTGCGACCTTACCGGGGGCTGGTGGTCCACGTGTGTGCCAGCTTTGTGGCCGCGATGGGCACTGGGCCTCCAAGTGTCATAAGCGCTTCCAGCAAAGCTTCCTTGGTCTTGGCAATGACGGCAAAGATACACGCAGAAGAAGTACTCCTTGGAGTTGTTACAAAGAGCGGGCATGCTGAAGTGCAAACCGACCACCACACCCATGTCGTCTACTGACAAGATAACAGATGTTGATGGTGAGCTTTTGTCTCCTGCGGATGCCACAGAGTACAGGAGCATTGTTGGTGGACTTCAGTACTTGACGATCACGAGACCAGATATCTCTTATGCTGTTAACAGGGTTTGTCAGTATCTTCAGGCTCCCAGAGATACTCATTGGGCTGCTGTTAAACGCATTCTTCGTTATGTTCAGTTCACCCTGACATTTGGTATGCATATTCGGCCGACTTCCTCTCGGGTCCTTTCGGCCTTCTCTGATGCAGATTGGGCTGGTAGCCCAGATGACAGGCGATCCACGGGGGGTTATGCAGTATTCTTTGGCCCTAATTTGATCGCCTGGAGTGCTCGGAAACAGGCTACTGTGTCACGTAGCAGTACTGAAGCTGAGTACAAGGCTGTGGCTAATGCTACTGCAGAGATTATTTGGGTGCAGTCTTTGCTTCAGGAGTTGGGTTTGTCTCAACCACAGCCTCCTATTCTTTGGTGTGATAACATCGGTGCTACATACCTTTCTGCAAATCCAGTATTTCATGCCCGAACGAAACACATTGAAGTTGACTATCACTTTGTACGGGAACGTGTATCACAGAAGCAACTCCAGATCAAGTTTATCTCATCTAAAGATCAACTTGCAGACATCTTCACTAAGCCTTTACCACTGCCACAGTTTGAGGCTGGTAGGCGCAATCTTACCCTTCTCAGTTCTTTAGAAAGTGGCTAAGATTGAGGGAGGGTGTTAGACTATGTATAGCTTCTGTACCTATGTACGTATTGTAACAGAACCATTATATATAATGAGATAAGCCACCCCTAGAGGGTGGTGCTGGTTCCCAAAACTTATTGTCTTACACAAACCAAAAGAGACCAATAGGAAAAACCGATTTGAAATTGTGGTTTGTGTCCAAACTGTTCCCAGGTTTACGCGTGGGGAAGAAAAGCTAAGTCAAAAGCGATCGCATGAAGATGAACGTACGGCCGCCCCTGCTGACGGTCAATGTAAAACAGTGAGAAGAAACGAAACGAAGACCGCGTGTCCGTACGATCGGACCCTTGTGCGCTCGCGGGCCGGTGCACACGGCCATGAGGAGCTACTACAGCAGCTGCAGCACGCGGCCATTCCCTTTGTCGACCCGCAGCTTCGCCTCATTGGGGGCTGTTGCCAGATACGCTCCAGGTATCAGTACGGCAGTATAAAGGCAAAAGCGTACAGGCACTCCCAGTCCAAGGGGCAGTAGAGTAGGTGTCGCCGCTGGCTGATACACGTACGTCGGCGCATGCATGCGCGATTCATTCTACTAGCGATTATTATTACCCAGGTCGGCAACGCTTGGGTCGGCGTACGTACTACACGTCGGCGTTGTGTTGGTTGCCGTCGGCTGCGGCCGCACCGCCGGATGTTTTACTTGCCCCGTCTCTTACTCCAGAATCCACCCACATGCGCACGACGGTTGCTTGGAGGCTCCTCTCCTCTCGGCCTGCTCCAGTATAAATATTCCGCTGCCGCCCTGTCCCTGAGCTGTATACTCTCCTCCTCCTCCTCCTCCTCCTCTGCGCTGTGTTTTCTTTCCCCACCTCTCCTCCTCCTACCTCCTACCCTCCCACCTACCTCTCCCCCTCCCCTGATCCCTCCTCCTTCATTCCCCAATTGAGTCGACGCCAGGGGAGGCACCTGCTCCGCACCCGCGATCGTGTCTCCTCGTCTGGTCTTGCCCCGATCCAGCAAATTCCCCTCTTTCTTGCTCTTGCCGCGGCGGAGCAGCCCCCGTCGGCGACAGGAGGAGAGATTTTCGGAGCTGAGACTCGGAGCTTCCGTCTCCTTCCTCGTGCTTGGATTGTTCTTGCTTCTTGCCGAGGGTAGCGCAGGCTGCTAGGGTTGCTCGCTTGATTCTTTGCTTGTGCGGTACATAGAGTACGTATCATGAGAAGATGATGCGCGCCAAGGGCAAAGCTACATTCTTGGACGCCATGAAGGAGACCACCTCCCCCGTCTCCCCCGCCGCCGCGGCCAAGGAGGCGCTCAAGGAGGACGAGTGGGAGGTGCGGCCCGGCGGGATGCTGGTGCAGAAGCGCGACCCGGGCTCCGACGCGCCCGCGGGCGCCCCCGTGCCCACCATCCGCCTCAAGGTCAAGTTCAACGCCGTCTCCCACGAGATCTACATCAGCTCCCAGGCCTCCTTCGGTAATGCACGCAAACCAATCAATCAATCAACCAATTGCTTTGCTTCGCCTTGCTCGCCGGATTTTTGGTTTGGCTCCTCTCGAGCTCGAGCTGGCTGCTGACTGAGCGTGAATGGTGGTGGGTGCAGGCGACGTGAAGAAGATGATGTCGGAGAAGACCGGCCTGCACCACGAGGACCAGAAGGTGCTCTACAAGGGCAAGGAGATGGACTCCAAGGCCTTCCTCGACATGTCCGGCGTCAAGGACCGCTCCAAGCTGGCGCTCCTCGAGGACCCCGACGCGCAGGCCAAGCGCCTCATCGAGCAGCGCCGCGCCGACAAGGCGCACCGCGCCTCCAAGTCCGTCTCCCGCATCAGCCTCGACGTCGACAAGCTCGCCACCAAGGTACCGACCACTCTGCTCGTGCTCGCGCCCTTCCCTTGTTTTTTGTTTCGCCGCCGTCGTCGATCGAGTTGGGTGCTGATCGAATTTGGGTGGCGCTCTGCAGGTGTCGGCGCTGGAGGCCATCGTGCGCAAGGGCGGGAAGGTGGTGGAGGCCGACGTGGTCGCCCTCACCGAGGCGCTCATGACGGAGCTGGTCAAGCTGGACGCCATCGCCGCCGACGGCGAGGTCAAGGCGCAGCGGCGATTGCAGGTCAGCACGTACGCTCGGCCGAATTAAGCTCCCCGCCGATTCCGTTGACGAGCACATTAATTAGCCGCGGGGCGGGCGAGCTGAACGGAACTGAATCTCTGGTGGTGCAGGAGAAGCGGGTGCAGAAGTACGTGGAGACGCTGGACGTCATCCGCGCCAAGAACGCGGCGGCGCCCAAGGCCAACGGCACCGGCAATGGCCAAGCCAAGGGCGACCGGTCGCTGCACCTGCCGCCGCGGCCGCCGCCCGTGTCGCAGCGGCGGCAGTTCAAGCAGCAGCCCGCGCCGGCGACCGGCAAGGCGGCGGCGGCGCCGCCCACGGCGAGCTGGGAGACGTTCGACCTGCTGTCGTCAATGCCGTCGACGTCCTCGGCCACGGCGACCACCACCATGGCGGCCGCGACGACCACGACGAAGCCGGCCAGCAACAACAACAGCACCTCGCCGATCCCGCGGTTCGACTGGGAGCTCTTCTAGCGGCGACGCGCGTACCGCCCGTGACGGCGGCATGGTACATGCCTCTGCCTAGTTTGATTCCTTTCTCGTGCGTCCATCCATCAATCGACCTCTCTGCCCTGCTCTGCTCGATCCGATCCGACCAATCTAGTGCCGATTGTTTGCTCCGGTCTGTTTATTCTTTCCTTTTTCTCGATGGTTTCTTCTTCCACCTCCATTTTTCTTTTACATTTGTTCCGAGTGTATGTATGTATGTATGTACATCAAACAACACAAGATGAACAGGCCCTGGCCGGTGAAGTGGCGAGCGTGTTCGTCCATTCCGTCCCGTCCGTGCAGAGAATAAGCGCCGGTGGTGGTCTTAATGTGAAGGATTTTTCATGGCACAACCAACATATATGGAAATAGCATGTATATGTGATTCATACCTACATACTACATCAATCGATTCCTCTATGATTGGATTGCTTGGTTGATGACTTGATTCCCCCATTGCCATCGCAAGTGGTGATCGTACCGCTGGGTGATCATCGGGGTGTGAGATTTGGTGCTCTGGATTCCCAATGCACCATGGATTGATTGATTGACTGGGGTTGCTGACGTGCTTGTGTCGTGTGGGGCGCGGGGCACGAATTACTGTTGGCCATGAGAGCGCGCGCACGGACACGGAGCACGGGGCCGGGCCGGGGGCCATCGACGGTGTGGTGGTTCGTGCACGTCGTGCCCGGACGCGCTCGCCTGCCGCTGTACTCTCTTGTGTGGCTCTAGTGGCAGATGATGGTTGCGTTTGGCCGGTCTGATTAGTGGAAGGTTCCATTAGTTTTGTCGGCGGCAACACGCCATGTTCCTGGGTGCTAACCTGAACTGGCCAGCTGCATTTGCTCGAGTCCGACCTACAGCTGCAGGGCTGTTCCAAATTTGTACTGCGGCTACTGCCCACGATGTCAGTCCAGCTCGCTTGATTAGCTGGGTTACGCCACGAGGACAAATGGTTTTGGCAGGGTGTGCTCACATTGCACCTACTAGCTACTTTTCTCTTCAGTTATTATGACAGCTCCAGCAGTAGATGTGGATCTGATCTGATCTGACAGCTCCAGCAGTTTTATACTGCTTCAGTTATTATGACAGCTCCAGAATAGTAGCGCTGCTGCATCGGGAGCTCCTCGTGTGGAGAGAGGGAGAGAGTTGTTTTGGCCGGGCAGCTACCTACGGATGGGGTATAGAATATCTGCACGAGCGAGGGAGGAATAGCAATAGGGAGGGAGAGAGATGCGTTGCTTGCTTCAGGCGAGGAACAAGGGAGGGTCCGAGTGTGGGTGGGCACGGAAAGAAAGGGGGAATGAGTTGGCAAATGGTGAGGTCCGAGTGGACTTTTCGGAAGGTTCGGGGCCCGTGCAGCGCATAGGTGCATAGGCCGGTGTTTCGGCTACTGCTGGTTCGAGGGGCAACAAATGAAATTCCGGCCGACTCACTCCGTTCGATGAGAGCTACAAAAGTGGTATTAGGCTGGTCATACTGGGGTAACTTGTACTACTCCCTCCGTTCCTAAATACTTGTTTTTCTAGATATTTTAACAAATGACTACATACGGAGCAAAATGAGTGAATCTACACTCTAGAATATGTCTACATACATCCGTATGTAGTAGTCATTTGAAATGTCTAGAAAGACAAATATTTAGGAACGGAGGGAGTAGTTGACACTAGTCTAAGTTATCACCTTTGTAGTAACATAGTATTAGGCTGGTCATAGTGGGGAGTAATTTAGACTAGTGTCATATACATCACATTAGTCTAAGTTACTACCCCCATGGTGCAAAGTATCTTAGTAGTAGTGTCATAGTTTTTTTTTCATTTATTGTCATATAGACTCATTTTACCTCGGGAAGCGCTCTGTTACAGTAACATATTATGTTATTCCAAGCACCTCTCTCCTCATTAAATGCTTGCCACATAAGCAAAATTGTCTTGAAATGTGTTAAGTTACTACCTAAGTTATCCCCACTATGGCTAGCCTTAGTGTCATAGAAGACTTCATTTATTAACTTGTAGACTCATTTTGTCTTGAAAACCGCTATGTTACAGCAACATATTATGTTACCATTTCTCATTAACTAAATGTCACATAAGCAAAAAAAAATTGGAGTGCGCTATGTTACTAGCTAAGTTACTCCCACTATGACTAGCCTTATAGTCTGACTACATGGCATTTTTGTTTACGTGAAGGAGAGAGACACTGAAAAATGATGAGGTAAATAATGAGGATGAACTCTCATACATGAACCTAACTATATGTGCATTCCTAAACAAAAGTAAGAAATACAATGAAAGAGAAAATAAGAAGGTAAAAAAGAATAGTAGTCTAATAGCCAACCTTATTGTATGAGTGCGAACCAACCTGTGGTTGGATGGTTAGAGGGACTGTGGTATCCCCAGCCCACCAAGGTTTAAATCCTGGTGCTCGCATTTATTCCTGGATTTATTTCAGGATTTCCGGCGATGCGCATTCAGTGGGAGGAGACGTTCCCGTCGGCGATGAGGCGCCTACGGTGACTTCGTAAATCTCAAGATGATATGCCGACTCAGTCTTTCGGAGGTGCTCATAGGGATAGGGTGTGCGTGTGTGCGTTCATAGGGGTGAGTGTATGCGCGTGTATATGAGCGCTTGTGTTTGTACTCATGTTCAAGAAAACCCTTACTGTATGAGTGACTACACACAATGACTCTAGCTGACATGGCAGCAACTGACTATACTATTAACCATGCTCTGAAAAGTGTACATATAGAAATTTTAGGACAAATGTAAAAAGTGCATCGAAAAGGTGCAAACCATCATCTCTCTCATCTTTCATAACCCAACCTCCAATGAGCTAATTGTTCGGAAACGTAGCATGCAATTTCAAAAAAATTTTACGCTCACGCAAGATCTATCTAGAAGATGCATAGCAACGAGAGGGGGAGAATGTGTCCACGTACCCTCATAGACCGAAAGCGGAAGCGTTTGACAACGTGGTTGATGTAGTCGAACTTGTTCTAGATCCAACCGATCAAGCACCGAACGTACGACACCTCCGAGTTCTACACACTTTCAGCTCGATGACGTCCCTCGTCCTCTTGATCTAGCAGAGGTGTCGAGGAAGAAGATGAGTTCCGTCAGCACGACGGTGTGGTGAGGATGATGGTGAAGTAATCTGCAGAGGGCTTCGCCTAAGCACTACGAAGATATGACCACA